GAACAGAACTTCAATTACATCATCAATACCAATTAAAACTAATTCACACCATCTCAGTGTTTTGCTTGTAGTCACACTGTCACATACGTGTGTCAACCACCTTTATACTTAATGTCAGTCCCAGTTACTTGACAGCCATGCCATGTTGTTACCCATGGCAACAAGAAGAGGTTCACACTTTTGTCATTTGCATGCAGTTTTTACAAATCCAAACTTAAAAATAGTAAACAAACTGCATGTTTCTAATTCCCTTGAAAAGGTGGACAAATATTTTAAGACAGTTAAATCTCAACTACAGAAAACATAGGTGTGTGAGGGGTTCATTCAGGACTAATTTGAGATCGATATTTGGTCTTAAGGTTGTAGCAAATGTCCATTAAAATTTCCAGTTTGGATTGAAACATTTCCCAATTCTTGCTGTTCCATACACAAACTTAATAGCTTTGTTAGGCGTTTTGTATTTCGCTGAAAAGAGGACCAATTTTGACCAAAAAACACCTAATGCTTAGTGTGGCAAATATTGCATCAAGTTCAATAATCATACAAACAGTGTCTGCGTGCCCCATCGAAGAACCACAAATTTACTGAACTTTGAAAAAATATTGAATTTTGTTTATCATTAGCAGGAAAAATATTTTGTCTTGTTCCCCAAAAAAAAAAAACAAACAACAACACCAACAAAAAAAAACAAACAACCAAACAACAACAAATAATTCCAATTGCCTGCAACTATTACATGTGACAATATTAAGCCCCAGTTGGAGGACAATCACCAATGGAGCAGGTGCTTGCCCTTGATTACGACTGACGCACAACTTATCTGACGGATCTCAACAACAGGTGCTTGCTCACACAACCAACAACATAATCATAACAGCATCAAGCCAAGTGCCACAAGAAATAGTCTGATCACACCAAAATAGGGAACTTGCTATGAATAAATATTTGTGCTGTTGGCTTTTCAAACAACACCACTACCTATAAAACATATATTTAAATCAACATTTTCTGTAGATCTATATGCATTTACATAAGGGATGATTGTTAGCTGATCTAACAAGACACAAGTCTGGGTGAGGGAGGGAATGTTTTATGCCACTTTTAGCTTTAATCCAGCAATATCATGTCAGGGATACCAGAAATAGGCTCACACATTGCTTCTTAGTCTGTTTCAGTCCCTGAACCAAATTATTTTCCCTACTGCCAAGCCCTCTCTGCAGTGCTGAAGCCCTAAATAAAGCAAGTCTAGATTTCCTCAGGCTCATCATGCACATTAAGTTATTACCTTGCTCCAATTAAACTGCTCCACACAAATACCAGTGTACAGACTCAAGCAGACAGGTCTGAAGAAAAGCAGGCTCTGTCTGATGGGCATCTTGAGGGAAATACAGGGACATATCACTCATTTTGAGCCACGTCCTGAACCAACATTTCAGGGCTCGATTTAAGAGATGTTAACCTACTTGCACCAGGTGCAACCTGAGATAAAAACATAGTTGCACCAGCCAAATTCCAAGTCTGTCTCACAGTCCTTGAACCACATTATTTTCCCTACTGCCTCGCCCTTTCTGCATTGCTAAAGCCCTAAATGAAGCAAGTCTAGATTTCCTCAGGTTCTGATTCTCTGGTCTCCCTGGGGCTCCTTTTCAATTTAAATGGGCTTGTTTGTTACTATCAACTGATATATATATTCAGAGACTATGCATTAGTCTACCTACTGCCTAGCACTCCCTGCAATGATAAAGCCCTAAATGAAGCAAGCCTAGATTCCCTCAGGTTCTGAATTTCCCACCTGAATGGGGCTCCTTTTCAATTTAAATGGGTTTATTTGTTACTATCAAAATTAGATATATTCAGAGACTAAGCGTTAGTCTAATTACTTCTGTTTGAGAAGTTAACCCAGGTCTTCGATGAGACGAACAAATGCTTCAGTAGAAGCCACCTCTACACTCAGCTACACTACCCCTCAGGGAAAACTTGCTATGTCAGCCTCTAGTTAATGATGCCAAATTATTACATATACTAACTTATTACATATACTAAGTCCTTCCAACATAACTATAAGAGTATTAAGAAGAATTAACATCAAGTCAATGTTTGGAAACAAACCGAAAATCAAGGGATCATAACGCTTCTGTTAAAGATTGTGGGTTCCCCAGATTTAAAGTACATGATATAGTATCAAACAAACAAGCAGCTTTTATTTCTGTAACAGTACCCTGTCCCAACAATGCTAATCACTTCTATCTCGGACAATAAGACTAAGTCTGATCAGCAGGACTTCTGACACTCTAACTGCTGTGACACTGCTGTCCAGTAGGTGTTGTCCACAAGGGATTAGCCTGCATCTGGCCTTGCTTGCTGAATACCAGCTGGTCAACAACAATAGTTCATGCTGAGGACTGCCCACAGGGCAAGGTGCATCATAAAACACTGCAGATCAAATACAATCAGTGTTAACTCGAAATGTGGATCCCAGGGTCTTTGAGATTTGCTTCTTTAGATCTATTACCACTGTGATAATCTCATGATTAACATTGGGAGGTTGGGACAAGGATCCTTGCTTTTGATATCATTTTGCTTATTAATGATGACAAATGCTTAGAATTTGTCGACATGAAATTGCATGCCACCCAACAATCTGCAGTACAGTCTCAGAGTCCCTGAAGTGCATTATTTTCCGTTCCGCCCAGCCTTTTCTGCAATGCTATGGCAATAAATGAAGCAAATTTAGTTTTACACCACACTCCAGCTATATGGCGGGGGTCTGTAAATAATCGACTTTTATCGAGTCTGGACCAGACAATCCAGTGATCAACACCACGAACATCGATCTGCGTAACTGGGAACCGATGACATGTGTCAACCAAGTCCGCGAGCCTGACCACCTGATCCCATTAGTCGTCCCTTACGACAATCATGGGTTACTGAAGGCCAATATTCTAACCCGGACCTTCACGGGTCTAAGAAGTTGGAAGTGCATGTATGAAACCTTTATGAATAACAACTTCCTTACTGTTTCTATCAGGTTGTTCTTGCTCCTATATTCACCTGATGAATCTTTTAATGAATTATTCACAGCAGCTGGGTTCATGTATATGCAATGCCTGCATTTGATCAGTATATAAGATCCACGAGGAAATGGTATACCGATACATATGCTGAATATTGATGTGCACATATGTTGATACAAGGAGTAATGCTGCAAAGAGCTGCTATTTAATTGCGTTTTCAAAATCTATATTGCATGCTTGAATGTAAACAACTCAAAATACCAAATGCACCTTTTAGATGCTGAGCATGTAAATGAAAACAGAACATGAAAGGTAGCCTTGCTCCAAGGCTACCGAATGCTAAGCCCATGGATGTATAGTAATTCTATCCTTTAAAGAGGCAAGTCTACATAAGCAGACATAGACTAACAACTAGTCTCTGAAATGAACATATTTTACTGAAAAAAGTTCATAGTAAAAATATAATATAATGAAAAGGAGCCCTGAGACTTTCTTCATTTTCAGAAGCTGAGGAAATCTAGACTTGTGTGGGCTTTCTTGGATATATTTGCTTCAGGGTCTGTACGACAGACTAAAGCAGACAGTACAAGGATGTCAGTCTGTTCTTTGTATTTTTTGGAAATTTTCATTTCAAGTGTTCATTATTACCATAGAAACGTGTGCATGACTACATGAAAAGTAATTGGCAGCATTATTATTGCATTATTATTGCAACTTTATAATATATTAAGATGCTAAGGAACTCATTTGACATGCACATGGTGGAAGTAAAACAAAACCTTCACTGTATGTTATCTAAGTAAGTCAGCAATTCCACAATCATCTAACATCATGAAAATAGATGATATGATTAACATTATGTACATATCATTGTACATACAATGCATGTTGAAGACCCACAGATTTATGTAACTACTGCTTCACCATTAATATGTCATTACTAATACAAAACACCATCATAATTGTCTTGGGCTAAAGTCACACACCAGACTGTTTAACAAGTTATTGCAGTAAATGATGTTCTGGTATTGAATTTCATTGATTTTTATGCCAGATAAAAGGTTATATCCCCTTGTGGGCAGAACTGCGAACAAGTGAGTTAGTGGCTTACAAAACAACCCTATGCGTTAAATAACAGTCATAATGGCTTTGACTAAAAGATGTTCAACAACTATGCATATGAAACTCATTTGTCATTATAAATGAGTTACGTAGTCATAATATTTTACAACACAAACTCAAATTATTTCACAAAATAGGTGAAATCACATAGCTCTTTACGTGTATCAATGAACAGAAGAATATCTTTCATGTTGGAAAGGAAAAATGTTTCACAAGTTCGATATATGTAAATAATTAATCTCCAACATGTCAATACAGGAAAAATAAACATGTCCCTGTTATCTTAACATACTTGAAGTATCTAGACATATCTACAAAAATATATTGGAATTTCTCTCTGTATTTGAAAATATGATATCGTGATAAGTGTACACCTGAATGATTTCACGCCTGGCAGCCATGACTGGGATCCCTCATCATTCATAATAAAGTCACAGTCTTATCTTGACCTATCTGCATATTTAGTAAGTGATTTTGGATAGAATTTGAAATAAAGGATCCAGAATTAGTAGGGTGTATACAACGTTGTAAAAACTTGGAATGCTACCAAAGACAATGTAGACACAATACGGTATAGGTCTACATGATAACAGTTCTTATTGGCAGGTGATTGCACTTAGAGCCGTTTGGTACACATATTTCGGGATAGTCTTTGACCATTTGCATTTATCTGTTTCTTCTTTGATGACTAGCATTAATAAAACAAAAGATGTAAGTCTGGGGAAATGATAAACAAGTGAATATATTTACGGCAGCACTCGCCTAACAGTGGTCTTCTCGCGATGTCAGAACTGTCAAAACAAATCTAGAGGTTACCTTATGTTATGTTCAACAGAAGGCGAGGTCTAATAAACATATACTTACATGGCTCATGCTCTAGGCTTGCCTGAACTCCTCTTGAGATATCAGACAAGGTGATCAGCAGACAGATGACAAAAACCTGCCGCCACATGGTAAAGCCTTCCACTCTGTCCTCGACCAAAGTACTCCAACCTACATCATTTTGGCTGCCATACTGACACAAACCATCCTCGCGGGATCTCGTAGCAATCGAGGTTTGACGTCATCATGGATAATACCATAATATATTCGTGACGACTATTTGAATACCTCGAACAATTTTAGGAAGCTTCAGTCGAATTCAGGAAATAGGTCGTTTATTTCTTCTCAACGATCATTTTGCGTGCTGGTCATTGAGTAAAACGTTTGTCAGTCTTGAACATTTTTTGAAAACCGACAAATTAATAGTGTGTCTACCCGTATATGGTTTGATTTAACGATCAAGTGTATTCTTAACCACGCAAATTACCATTGTTTAAAATATGTGAAACTTGTAAGTAAACATAATTCACATGATACCGTTCTAAACGCTAAACCTCAGCATCATTTGCGTAATGAATATCTTTAAAATTATGATTATCCTTTTAAATTATGATAATTGATAAAGAGTCATACAGCTATTAATCATGTAAAGGTTAATTGTTTATCGGCTGGCTAAAGCCAGCGGATAAAAGCTGTATTCGTTAGGGTCATTTACAGATGAATATGCACATTAAAAGGCCAACATGAACTACTTCAGTATTTACAAATAAACAAGTCTCGGTGAACAAATTTGTAACTTTCAAAGCATCGTATTTATTAACAAAATAAAAAAAGAAGGAAAAAAGAATTTGCACGGACACCTCATACTTTTCATCCGAAGATTATAAAGTATTTCATCCAAGTTTTACGATTTTAAGTAACTTGGAAATATTACGTTGATTGAATAGGATGATCTGAAAGAAGTTATTTTCTTCTATGTTGTGGTATGGGCGTTTCCGGAAACTGATCGAGATTATCTAGCGGTGAGACATGTTGTTTCCGCATATCATTTCCCGGCGATGCCCAGCACAGAGCAGGCTGTGCACAAAATATATATTTCAAAGAAATCAATGCCGTGTAAAGTTATTTTAAATACGTGGAGAATTTTCGCCTATATAGTTCCTCCACTTATTATGTTATCTATATATCTGTTGCGCAGAAATGAATCCTGCCTATAGTTAATATATATGTCGTTTGTTGTTTAACGCCACACTCAGCAATATTCCAGTTAAATGGCGTCGGTCTGTAAATAATCGAGTCAGGACCAGACAATCCAGTGATCAACAGCATGAGCATCGACATACGGACTTATGATACGATGACATGTGTCAACCAAGTCAGCTAGCCTGACCACCCGTTCCCTTAGTCGCCTCTTACGACAAGCATGGCCCTGGATTACTGAAGACCAATTCTAACCCGGTTTTTCACGGGTAGCCATGGGAGATAAATGTTACAGTCAATGTGTAGTACAATACACCTAAATATTTTCGTCAGTACACAAAATTGACTGAAAAATCTCTTTGTTATATATCAATTATTCGAGCCTGGACCAGACAATCAAGTGATTGACATAATCAGCATCAATCCACGCGCTTGCATCAACCACGTCAGAGAGCCTGACAACCGGATCCTGTGAGCTGTTGTTATGAAAACCATTGCTTCCTGAAGATTCTCACCCGGATGTTCACATTGTTACTAATAGAGTCATATTCTTCCTATTCTCTTGGGTGATTCCGACTCGTGTTGTTTTTCCATATTGACTGTATATGAAAAAAACCCCACACATTAGGAAACCTGTTTATAAGGTAATTGTATTCACCCAGGTGCTGATACATTGGCAAGTAATCTCCCTGAAGACAAAGGGATATCAGCACTATGTATGTACATGTAGATATATACCTGTTGCTAGGCGATAGAGATTTATCTCTTTACTAATATCGATTATATGCAGGTCAGGCCTATATTTTCCTTTAACAGATATTCTAGTATTACATGCATAGATAGAGGATAGGCCCAATGATGTCTGGTCCGAGTACTTGCCAGTATTGTGCTCAACAATATTCTAAACATTGGTGCCTAAGATTAGACTAACGCTTAGTCTCTGAACAAATATAACTTTGAAGATCCCCAATACAATGGGAAGATTCATTCAGTACCTAGGTAACATCTAGACTTGCCTCATTGAACAGTACGGGTTGAACGGTAAGTATTGTACACAAAGGGTTGAACGGTAAGTATTGTACAGTATTGAACGGTAAGTTATTAAAGTATTGTACACAAAGGGTTGAACGGTAAGAGTTGTACACCAAAGGGTTGATCGGTAAGTATTGTACAGTAAGGGATGAACGGTAAGTATTGTACACCTGCGGGTTGATCGGTAAGTATTGTACAGTAAGGGTTGAACGGTAAGTATTGTACAGTAAGGGTTGATCGGTAAGTATTGTACTGTAAGGGTTGAACGGTAAGTATTGTACACAAAGAGTTGAACGGTAAGTATTGTACACAAAGGGTTGATCGGTAAGTATTGTACTGTAAGGGTTGAACGGTAAGTATTGTACTGTAAGGGTTGAACGGTAAGTATTGTACACAAAGGGTTGAACGGTAAGTATTGTACATCTGCGGGTTTATCGGTAAGTATTGTACAGTAAGGGTTGATCGGTAAGTATTATACTGTAAGGGTTGAACGGTAAGTATTGTACACAAAGGGCTGAACGGTAAGTATTGTACAGTAAGGGTTGAACGGTAAGTATTTTACAGTAAGGGATGATCGGTAAGTATTGTACAGTAAGGGTTGATCAGCAAGTATTATACTGTAAGGGTTGAACGGTAAGTATTGTACACAAAGGGATGAACGGTAAGTATTGTACAGTAAGGGATGAACGGTAAGTATTGTACAGTAAGGGATGAACGGTAAGTATTGTACAGTAAGGGTTGAACGGTAAGTATTGTACACAAAGGGCTGAACGGTAAGTATTGTACAGTAAGGGTTGATCGGTAAGTATTATACTGTAAGGGTTGAACGGTAAGTATTGTACACAAAGGGATGAACGGTAAGTATTGTACAGTAAGGGATGAACGGTAAGTATTGTACAGTAAGGGATGAACGGTAAGTATTGTACACAAAGGGCTGAACGGTAAGTATTGTACAGTAAGGGATGAACGGTAAGTATTGTACACAAAGGGATGAACGGTAAGTATTGTACAGTAAGGGATGAACGGTAAGTATTGTACAGTAAGGGATGAACGGTAAGTATTGTACAGTAAGGGTTGAACGGTAAGTATTGTACACAAAGGGCTGAACGGTAAGTATTGTACAGTAAGGGTTGATCGGTAAGTATTATACTGTAAGGGTTGAACGGTAAGTATTGTACACAAAGGGATGAACGGTAAGTATTGTACAGTAAGGGATGAACGGTAAGTATTGTACAGTAAGGGATGAACGGTAAGTATTGTACACAAAGGGCTGAACGGTAAGTATTGTACAGTAAGGAATGAACGGTAAGTATTGTACAGTAAGGGATGATCGGTAAGTATTGTACAGTAAGGGCTGAACGGTAAGTATTGTACAGTAAGGAATGAACGGTAAGTATTGTACAGTAAGGGATGAACGGTAAGTATTGTACAGTAAGGGATGAACGGTAAGTATTGTACAGTAAGGGATGAACGGTAAGTATTGTACAGTAAGGGTTGATCGGTAAGTATTATACTGTAAGGGTTGAACGGTAAGTATTGTACACAAAGGGATGAACGGTAAGTATTGTACAGTAAGGGATGAACGGTAAGTATTGTACAGTAAGGGATGAACGGTAAGTATTGTACACAAAGGGCTGAACGGTAAGTATTGTACAGTAAGGGATGAACGGTAAGTATTGTACAGTAAGGGATGAACGGTAAGTATTGTACAGTAAGGAATGAAGACACATTGTAATAGTCTTACGCTTAGTCTCCGAAAATGTGTACTTGTAATAGAAACGTAACTCTATTTAAATTGAAAATGATTGAGCTCCAGTAAGATGAGGGGGTTCAGAAACTGAGGTGTGAATGGGTGAGATGGGTTTTACGAGATCCAGCAATTTACGCCTCTTACCAGCCATCACAAGCCTATATCACAAGCCGGGGTCACCAGAAATGGGCTTCACACATTGTCAGGGTTCCCACAATTTGGGGAAAAAAATCTGTGATTTTTCCAGACAAAAAATGCCATTTCCAGACACAACAATATATGTCCTAGGGTATTTTGATACATTTAAACATATATTAGGCTACTGTGTTTGAAATAAAACAATATCTTAAATACGTCCTCCCATCTCCCCTTACAGCTGTCCATTCACACCTCCTTAATGATAAGATGACATAATAAAAATGAAACATCAAGTGTAACAAGTTTTTTCTTTTACTTTTTAACTATCTTTATTGACATATATCAAATATGTTGATGGCTGCCATAGCCCATGTAGTGCTGTTAAGATATACAGTTTTGTTAGATAAAAAACAACAATGGTGCGTGCGTGCGAGTGAAATTTCCAGGTCTTGTGGGAACCCTGATTGTACTCATATTGGGAATCAAACCCGGGTCTTCGGCGAGACGAGCGAACGCTTCAACCACTAGGCTACCTCACCGCCCCTCAGCAGCTGAAGAAAATTTAGACCTGCTCCATTGGGACTTTTGCGTTACAGAAAGGTTTTCCGGAAAAGAAAATATGGCTGAGGGGCTGAGAGACGGAATAAACGTCCGAATGATGGGACAAAGTGAAGCGCTGATTCACACAGCAGTATCACAAGTGCACCTGTCAGTTTCTCAGAGACCGTCGGATAATTACAGCATGTGCCATATGCAGGCTGCAGGCTAACGGAAGGACCTGTTGGCTTTGATCATCAAGCGCCGGACCTCGGGGAATAATGCTAGTTACCTTACGTAACATTGTGACACCTAGGTCAAACGTTCACCAGTAAACCATCGCCTAGTGGTATATACTGTCCCCCATGACGTATATTCACGCCTCGCTGACTTTATTGGTCATCAATCAACAATTAACACTGACCATTAGGAGCTCCTAAGTCATAAATTTGTTTATTGTCAACCTGGGAAAGCCCGTGAAGCGTGATTTTGTTGTTTGCAGCTGCTCTCATAGATAAACATATTAGTAATATTAATTTCAAAATGTGTTTATATTAATATATTAAATTCTTTTAATTTAATTCATTCAGAAGATAATAAAAACATTATTTTAAAATTGTATTTGGATGATTTAATAAGCATAAATATGATCAAAATAATTATCACGATGTGGGAATGAAATTTTAAAGAATAAAGTATGCATGGGTTTTGTGTCTGTTTTGTTCGGTAGAGTACTGTTCAGGACTGAGAGTACCCATGACGGATATAGTATCGGGCACCTGTTGACGTCACATATCCGGAAACAACACTATTGAGCATGGATTCTAACGAAGAGGTGATATTTGAGGTCAGTGTGATTATCTTTACAGTTTCTTTGACAGTTGCCTAAATCCAGTTATCTTGGACGTGTCACTTTGTTATATTATGATAAATATGTTTATTAACTTGGATCGCATGGTTTTTTAATTAGCAGAAGTTAGGATGACTTTTGATTCTGCTGTCTTCACTGGGGGCAAGCCGTTGCCTGAAGCGATGTTGTTTACTTTCTGCTTCTAGTTTATGACAGGTCATTTTCAGTATCTATTCAAACACATTACGAAGGATGGAAATTTTCTGGATTTGAAAGGGATAATAAAATTGGTAATCACTCTAGCGGGTTTTAGTCGTAGTAAGAATGTTAGTAGCGATGACTTAACCGCAAGAGCTCGTCAAGCGATTGGTCATCCTCTGAACTGCTGCCAACTTCATCACAACTGAATCACCCACCCCCAACCCCCAACCTCTCACCTCTCACCCTTCAACATACATACAATTTGAGGTTTCTAAAACGTATTCACTGAATCCGGATATATATTTGCGAATGTCAGTTTCATTTTCCAGAGTTAAATACATTCATTATTATCACATTAGCTTCGTTTTCATGTTTGCAATTTATGATCATATGGTTTACATTTGTTGTGGTATACTTCATAACAGAGACAGTATATTCTGTATATGTTATTAGTTAGGAATAACAATGAAATTTAATTAGCTTGTGAATAAAGAATTTGCTTTTATTGTCCCTTTACTAGGAAGAAATTGTCAGGTGGTGGACTTAGTGTATTTTTTGGCAGTTAATGGACTGATCACAGCAAAAATTGGTTGGTGAAACATTCGAACGCTATGGAATCATGTCCAATTTATTTATGACCTGATTAAGTATTTCCTCTGTATTTGGTCACAAGCTAAAGAGTCCCCATTGCAAATGATGGTTCAACATTCATGTTTCTTATGTTTCTTCATAGTCATTAATTACATCAGTCAGTTTATGATATCTATTCAAAAACTATAGGTCATTAGAGCATATTAATTATTAAGTATGTCTTCTGAAATTCCTTTGAAACAACTTGGGATAATCTGCAACAAAATATAACTGTGACATTCTCTTTTCCAGGATTACCTGTACAAGTTAAGTGAACCCAAAACTGGAAAATTACATTTGTTGGGTAAATCAAAATGGAAACAAAAATATTTCCAAGTTAAGAGAGTTGGAGAAAAACCTGCATTGGATTATTTTAACAAGAAACCGAAGACAACCAGCACAACCCCCAAAGGTAAGGTTTAGTAATACATAGTGATCAACATAATTAAATCACGTGTCTGAAGCATATTTATTCCAGTAGCCAATGATAGTCTGATTCCCAGAGGCCCAGATAAGCTGCGTATCCGGGGTAAAATACGCCTATAAAATTTCCAATTACGCATTGAAAAATAATTGTTGCATACCAATTACGCATTTAAAATGTTAGATATGCAAAAAGTTTAAAACAAATGCGTACGGAATATATTTTTAAAAATCGCTTGCGTAATGAAAAAGACATCGATTGCTATCAAGTTGTACTGTTAGTATAGGACAAGAGTTGTACTGTCAGTATAGGATGAGTGATTTTAATGAAATCATTTCCATTATATTAAGGTTGGTTTTGATTAGGTATGACATAAGGTAGAACATACCTGCTTAGTAAACATACTCAATGACATAATACTTAGGTGAGTAAAATGACTGAAATACGCACATATTTGAAAGCAGTGGGTAACGGAAAATGAAATACCCACTCAACATTCATAATACCCACTCCCAAAAAATACAGTGGGTACAGTACCCACATGAGCTCAATCTTATCTGGAGCTCTGGATTCCAGTTTGATTCTGATGATGAGGGGCAGTGGGGTAGCTGAGTGATCTAAGCATTCGTTCATCACACCGATGACCCGGGTTCGATTCCCCACATGGTACAATGTGTAAAGCCCATTTCTGATGTCCCCCGCCACTATATTGCTGGAATATTGCTAAAAGTGGCATAAAACAAAACTCATTCACTCTATCTAGACAAATCAAAAGTTTCTGAAAATACATCATTTTGATAGAAACAAGCAGCTCCATTAAAATTGAAAAGGAATCCTTGAGAGTTGGTAGTTTCAGACCTGAACCTGTGGAAACTCTACGCTTACTTCATATAGGGCTATCACATTACAACAAGACTGGCGGAAGGGGTAATGATATGGTTCATGGACTGTGAGACAGATTAGCATCTGGTACCTGTGCTCCTCGTCTTCACCAAAGTTGCCACACATCTACGTTCTCTCACGAAGGAGTGACGAGCCATTATATACTGAAACAAAAAAAGTTATTATCAAGAATTGTTAGAGAACTGAAAAGTGAATTAGTTTGGATAATGATTACATGACTTAACGGTGAGTGAGTATGGTTTACACCACTTTTAGCAATATTCCAGCAATATCATGGCGGGGGACATCAGGAATGGGCTTCATGCATTGTACCCATGTGGGGAATAAAACTCAGGTCTTTAGTGTGAAGAGCAAACGTTTTAACCACTAGGCTACCCCACCGCCCCCATCTTAACAGACTGGTCATTATTCAGCTGTGTATAGCCCAAACAGTTGTCAAGTCAGATCAGGGAAGCTTCACTTGCTTTAATGCATATTTGTGTCTTGCAACGACACACCCCAATTATGTCACCATTTTAGACTGCTGTCTATCTCTAATAGGAATGAAAACAAACATTTCACCACAGGTTGTGTAGACTGCCAAATTTGCTAAGCTGAATTTTAATTGGTTTATATTCTAATTTATTTCTTCAAAAATGTTTTAATGGGCCCATTGTATACATGATCTGTTTACATATAAGAGAGGACATGTAGTTTTATGTTCCTTGTAAACAAATCTTGTCATACGCAAGAACATAAACATAGTGGGTGGATGAGTTTAGTTTTACGCCACATTCAGCTATATGGCAGCGGTCTGTAAATATTTGAGTCTGGACAGGACAATCCAGTGATCAACAGCATGAGCATTGATCTACACATTTGGGATACGATGACATGTGACATGAACAAAGAATGTTTGACTGCATAACTGAGATACAGGTCATTGTGGCTTTACTAGACTAATGCTTACTCCCTGAAGTTATGGACCGCCTCCGTGATGTAGTGGTTAGAGCGTCCGCCCGGAGAGCGGAAGGTCGGGGTTCGATCCCCGACTGCGTCATACCAAAAGACGTTAAAATATGGTACTTGTTGGTCCCTGCCTGGTGCTCCGCATTAATGGGTACAACAAGGACTGGTCGGCTCGGAGTCAGTATAATGTGTCTGAGTGGGGTGTTCATGCTTCACTGCGGCATGGTATCTCAGTGGGCTAGCACTATAAAACCAGCTTCAGTCTGGGCTAGTGCAAGCAGCCGCACATACACACGCATTCACGTCATCATATGAGCGAAATATTCTCAAGCACGACGTTAAACCCAATTTCACCTCACCTCACCCAGAAGTTATAACATTTTGATATAAACAAATTATTCTATTTCACTTGACAAGGAGCCCCAGTGAGATAGGAGATTAAGAACCTGAGGAAACTCTAGACTTGCTCCATTTAGTGATTTTGCTCTACATAAAGGACTGGGCGGAAGAATAAATAATGTGTTCCAGGGACTGTGAGTGAGACGGACTATAACGTTAAACCAAAGCATTTCAGAAAACAGACCAGTATTCTTGAAGAATGTACTTGTCACCTATCCTCTCTCCGTCTTAATGAGTGCACCTGTCAACAATATGAACAGATTTGTTGTTGTTTGTTTATCGAATGTATTTACTACCATTTGACCTCATCACAGAGGTTGTCATACGTTTGTTATTTTCGTGGGTGCGTCTTCACAGGTCTCCATCATTTTGTTCCCACGCTTCCCATTGGTTGTTTGTTACAAAACTTAACTTCCTTTACGTTATACCCCTAGACTAACAACTAGTCTCTGAAATGAACATATTTTACAGAAAAAAAAGTTCATAGTAACAAAAATATAATATAATGAAAAGGAGCCCTGAGACTTTCTTTATTTTCCTGAAGCTGTGGAAATCTAGACTTGGCACATTTTCTAGATTGGATGGGCTTTCTTGGATATATTTGCTTCAGGGTCTGTATGACGGACGTGATGTTAATGGTTACCGATTTGAAACGAACAACCTTATTTCAATTTACAAGATAGAAATCTCTTGTGGAAATTCTTCAGAAGTTTTGTACTTCATAGAAGTAGTGATGAAATCAGAGATGAAATCTCTTATTATGGGTAGTGACAAATAGAATATATGAATTAAACGATGGGACCAACACTGAAATGGGATATCTGATTTCAATGCATGATGATTATAATTTATAAACAGGACTCTTTTCAGAAAGTAATGAGCGGCATTTTGCTGTGTAAATGATATTTCATATAGCACTATGTCAGGGCTCCAGATAATTTTTCAACATCAGGAGTACGTATTCCTTATGTTTTCAATATAGGAGTACTGGAAAAAAACTTAAGAGTACATTTAGAATACTGAATGGAATTTAAAGGTGTATCAGTAATCTTGTGTTTCATTTCATAAGCATCACAACATTGCTACTCTTGTGTAAACAGGTCAATAAACAATAAAACAATACTTTTTCAGATAAATACATCTGTAAATGATTTTAAGACCGTACACCATTGCTGTGGTGCGTATCTGCTAAGTTTTCTAAATTATTTCCTCCCGTATTGTGCATATTTTCTATCCCTACATACGCCGATACGGCCGTTATCTGGAGCCCTGCTATGAAAAAACCTTCTTGGATAGTAACAACATCTTCTGGGACATTTTCAACATCACCAGTTTCACCATTTTTTAAGAGATTCCTAATTAGAAGAGGCCGCTTTGGAGAAACCTGTGTTTATTGTTTGTTATACGAGCTATCAATTGAAGGATTGCGAAGTCCAAACTCGATTGTTTACAGGCTAACGCCTTATTATATTAAAGTGGTATTCCAATTAATTGAAATAATCGACAATTGGTTGCAGTGATCAAATGACCAAGCAATCGATCACATTTTCTCATTATCGAACACAAACGATTTTGGAACTACTGTTTTAGTGTTTGAAACACTTGACGATGGAACATCCTAGAAGTTGTCAGGGCCTGGAAACGTGTTTAACTCTTAGAAAACTCACTTCATTTACTGAAAGGTCATGACTGAATATTTCTTGAAGACTCCAGGATGTTTATGTTCAAGATATATTAGTCATCACTTTAAAGTAGCAAGTTACAACATTTTAAATTGGATCTGAAATTTGCAAAAGCAATTTGCGCAGTTTCTAAATAAAACAAAAAACAGCACAGAACCATGTTATACTTATCTGCAATATCAACTGAATAGGAAAATCTGAGAAATGACACTAACAATTTTTTTTTGATGATTGCTCGCTGGTAGTGAACAAATTATCAATTGTGAGATTGCAACCAATTCCCAACAGTATTATATTAGCTGGAATATTGTTAAGTGCTGCTTTGAAGTGCAAATATACAAAACATTCATGACATTGTTGACTGAAGTTATTTGGTTTAGCACTATTTAAGAAATTCAAATATGATTTATGATTTATACTTTTTGTAAAGAGTTGGTTCATATCGTCTTTGAAATTTGATTTTTTAAATACCAACTGTATAAGTGGTCTATGTATACAAGAGCTGGACATTAGCAGAAATATTTGTTTACTCAGTTTCTTAGCACAATGACACACGCTACAAGCATGTTAACAGGATATGGCTTGAAACACATTTAGAATATACATTATCATAAAGCTGCTTAGGAAAAATCATTTAGAACTGTTTGCATATGAGATATGTCACGTGATAAGATGGCGTCATATTAACGTGAAATAACTTTGAGTCAACAGGGCTTTGTCTTTTTCTACGAAGTGGGATCACATGATTGCTCACTTTGACAAATCACTTGTTGCTGGAAGTGACCATGTTAGGGGATATATCATAACTTTCAGTAGAATGGAATTATATCTTAAAACATTATCTACTTTTGAGAACATATCTAAAATGTCAAAGTTTATTTTTCTTATCTCTACAATTCTCAGAATAAGGTTTTAGTGAATATATGATGAGAACAGTCATACATTGTTGAGAAAAGAAAGGTTTTAATGTATTATGATACGGTCCCTACATGTATTCAAGCACAATGGCACTTGACCATGTATGAACAGTTCAACAATACAAAGTATTGCCACTGA